AATCCAGGTCTTCTAGGTTCTTCACGTCGGTCCAGGATATCCCTGTCTTCTCGTTTCCCACTGTCTGGTGCATAATCCAGTCCACCACAATTAGGAATATCATTGGTGATAATAAGCACCCTTGTCTGACTCCTGTGTTTACTCCAAACGCTTCGCTGAGTTTTCTGTTGTGGATCACTTGACATGTGCCGTTGCCGTACAGCTGTTGAATAAGGTTGATGAATATTTGGGGCACGCCGTAGTACTCGAGTAGTTTCCAAATTACTTCGCGGTCAACGCTGTCTAAGGCCTTCTCAAAGTCTATAAAGTTGAGGTAAAGGTTTGATTGACATTCCATGCTTTGTTCGATGATAATGCGTAGAGTTGCGATTTGGTCAGAACATGATTTGCCTTTCCTGAATCCAGCTTGTTCTGGTCGGAGTTCTGTATCCAGTGCGTCCTTTATTGTCTCCAGGATGATGCGACTCAGTATTTTACTTGGCGTCGACAGGAGCATGATTCCTCGCCAGTTCTTGCAGAGTGAGGCCTAAGTCGCCCTTCTTTGGTAGTTTCACAAGGTAACCTTTCCTCCAGTCAGTAGGCACCTTTCCCTCCTTCCAGACCTTTTGCAATAATGGAGTCAGCATATCTGCTGTCGTCTCTGGGTCCGCTTTCAGTGCTTCAGGGGGTATTCCATCTGGTTCAGCTGCTTTTCCAGCTTTCAGAAGCTTGATTGCATTCAAGACTTCGGCTTTCATTAGGGGATTGGTGTCAACTTGCAGTTGTGTACGCGCTGTTGTTGGTATTTCTGGACGGGTTGTAGGTGGTGGTCGGTTCAAGAGTCCTTTGAAGTGGTCCGCCCATTGTTTAATCTGTCTTTCTTCTCTGCTAATTGGGTTCCCTTGACTGTCGTTTATAGGTTTCACTTGTGTTGATCTCTTCCCGGATAGAGACTTGGTTATCTGATATAGTGTCCTCAGGTCCCTTTTGCCTGCTGCCTTCTCAGCTTCAGTAGCCAGGTTTTCGTAGAGTTGTATTTTGTCCTTCCTGGCACTCTTCTTCACTTCTTCGTCCAGTGCTGTGTAAGTTGAGCTCAGCGTCTCTTTCTCTTGTCCATCTTTGCATTGAATCATTTTCTCCTTCACCATTCTCCTCTCCTCTATTAGCTTCCAAGTGTCCGTTGAGAGCCATTCCTTGTCTTGTTTCTTCTTTCTTCCTAAAACCGTTGAACACGTTTCGTTGAAAACTGCCCTCAGAGAGTTCCAATGGTCTTCCACGGATGATTCCTCAGTGGTGCCACGTAGTGTTTCCTGCTTTGCTCTGACAGTTGCAGTGAAAATGTCCTGTGTGATTGTGTCCTTCAGCTTTTGCGTGTTGAACTTGCATTGTGGCCTATCCTCAGGTATCCTCGAGGCTTTTAGCTTCACCTTGAAAGTCCCTTGTACTAGATAGTGGTCTGAACCCACATCTGCTCCTTTCCCCGATCTTGTGTCCAGTAGGCTCCGTCTCCACTTCCTTGAGATTGAAATGAAGTCTATCTGGTTTTGGTGTGTCCATCTGGTGAAATCCATGTTGCCTTGTGTATATCCCTGTGTTTGAACACACTGCCACCAATCACCAAATCATTGAAGGCGCAGAAGTCTGAGAAGAGTTCACCATTTTCGTTCATTTCACCGAGGGCCTCACGACCCGTGGTGAGTTCTCTTCCTGTATTGTCTCCTCCCAGTTTCGCATTCATGCCACCCATCAGGATTTTGATATCGCCATTTGGGACGTTGTCCATTACTTCTTGTAGTTGACTGTAGAAATCCTCCTTCTTCTCTTTTTCTGAGACGTTTGTAGGCGCGTAGCACTGAATGATTGTAACCTTTTTTCCTTTTGAGTTGAACCTGGCTTTCATTATCCTGGAGGAGATTGGTTCCCACTGCATGAGAGCTTTAGCCGCTGTTGGTGACATCATGATGGCTACTCCCTCGGTGTGCTCGTGATCGTCCTCTGGGTGACCGGAGTAGATTATTGTCTCTCCAGTTGGTAGTTGGCACCTTCCGCATCCGTTCCATCTGCTCTCGTAGATTCCCAACACTTCTATTTTATATCTCCTCATTTCTGCGGCTACCTGAGCAGCCTTCCCAGCTTCGTACATTGTACGAACATTCCACGTCCCCATCCTTATTTTTGCTTTCATCGAAAGAAGGCACATCGGCTGACTGGCTTCCCGAAGGCTTTCACCAGCCTGCGTCATTTCACTTCCCCGATTCCAGCGAAAAATAAGGTTATTGTTTGTATTTTTAGAATTTTGAATATATTTGTGCGTTGAAGTTTTAGTAGCAATTTGGTTAAGTTTTGGGGGTGGAGTTGCTAGCACCACGCCCCAACCCTCCCTCTTTATCCGGGCTTGGGACCGGCTAGAATACTAGTGACCTAGTAATCTAGGCGAGGTTCGTAATGTATTGTAGCGGTAAATAATTCCCCAAAATTATTGACCATAGCAATCATCTCTCAACATTGGATTCTGACCATCACTGTTTAAGTCGGCTTGTTTAGCTGAAGGCTTCCGGTCAAACATCCTCGCCATTTGGTACTCCGTCGTGTCACGTGCGTGCACGATTACTAGCTAGCTAAGCATTCACCTCTACCCGCGATTTTGTCCCGAAATATAATACGTACTTTGGACGACAAAATCTCGTCTTTTGCTTTACCATTTGGTACTCGAAGAACGAACAATATAGAAGTTGTTGGTATAAGATCTTGCGTTAGTATAATCCGTACAACTTGCGAACGTCGATACCTACAACCTCTAAACGTCGGGCTCACCAGTTTAGAGGTTTGTGGTCAGTGAAAATGATGAATTCACGACCCTCAACTGAATGTCGAAAATGGCGTATAGCACAGTACATAGCTAGAAGTTCTCTGCCGAATGTGCTGTACTTCGTTTCAGCTAATTGAAGGCGCCTCGAGGAAAAGGAGAGTGGTTGCCACTCTTTGTTAACTAGTTGTTGCAGAACTGCGCCGATTGCAGTGTCTGATGCATCAACTGAGATACTTAACGGTGCCGTTGGATCCTGATACATAAGAAGGGTGGCATCCGCAATAGCTTTCTTTACCTGAGTAAAAGCATGTCGAGAAGACGCGTCGAGTTCGATTGACTTGTTATTCCCTCGAAGGAGATCTGTTAATGGCTGAATAATAGAAGCACAGTTAGGAATAAATCGTCGGTAATAACTTACCAAGCCGTTAAAAGTGCGAAGACTTTTCACTGTCTTTGGCTCCGGAAAGTTCTGTATCGCTTCGACTTTAGTAGCCAGTGGGCGAATGCCCTGACAGTCAATAGTGTGATTCAGAAAATCGAGTGAATCAACGCCTATTTGACACTTTTGGATATTGATGGTAACACCATGTTGGCGTAACCTTTCAAATGCCAAGTCCAAGTGTCTAAGGTGAGTTTCCTTATCTGAACTGGCAATGAGGCAGTCGTCTAAGTATGCATAAACAAAGCCGAGACCGCGAAATACTTCATCGATGAAGCGTTGGAATGTTTGGGCTGCATTCCGAAGGCCGAATTGCATACGTAGGAATTTGAAAAGTCCGGAAGGTGTGATGATAGCCGTTTTCGGGATATCTTCCGTTGCCATCGGGATTCGGTTATATGCTTTAACCAAGTCGATTTTTGAGAATATAGATGCTCCAGATAACGTTGCCGTCAAGTCGTGTATGTGAGGCAAAGGGTAGCAATCAGGGGTTGTTTTGGCGTTCACTCGTCGGTAATCACCAGTGGGTCGCCAATCGTTGCTATTCTTTTTCGGTACCATATGCAACGGGGATGCCCATGGGCTATTCGGTGGCCAAATGATGCCAAGGGTGAGCATATGATCAAATTCATTTCTAGCAATTCTCAGTTTGTCAGGGGTCAGTTGTCGTGCTTTAAATGTCACGGGCTGTCCTGAGGTTATGATGTGGTGCATAACATTGCTGGTTATGCACGGGAGATCGTTAGATGGGCAGCTGAGTTCCGGATATTTGTCAACAATCAGTTGAAAAGTTGGGTCGAGGATCGCTTTCATCTTAACGATTGACAAGCTGGGGCCTATGTAGGTGATGCCTTTTATAGACAGACTAGTAGCATTGTCAATCAGTCGTTTTCGGTGGACGTCTACGAGCAAATCATGATGATTGAGTAGGTCCGTGCCGATGATGGGCATTGTGACTTCGGCGAGAAGGAAAATCCACTGAATAGGTTTGCGTAAACCTACGTTCAGACAGACGTATTTCTGACCATAAGTTGCAATTGGTTTTCTATTTGCAGCTTGTAAGTTGAAGTTAGGTTCCTTCTGTCGATCTGCTGCTGTAGCAGGAAGGACACTGACTTCGGTGCCTGTGTCAACTAAATATCTAGTCTTGCTCATTACATCATTGATGTAAAGTAGGCGGCTAGTGCCACCGGCGACGGTTGCAGCTAACGCGTGCCGGCGGGATAGTTTCCCACAGACTTGGAGGCTTTGCCGAAATCACAAGGTTTTCGACAGTATATTCATACTACCACCTGCAAATTGTGATTGAGTTATGTAGTTGTAATCATTTGACAATGCCTGTAAACCGGCGTCTCTCATACACTGTAATATAGGAATAAACGTTATTGTTATTAGTATTATGCCTTTGCGAGGTGCCCACAAAACGCTGCCCAGACTGGGGAGGAATAAAATGCGAGTGGGATTTATATTCTCTCGTAGAATGGCCAACGACTGTGACTCCTTACCCAATCAAGTAGTGTCAGCTTAATAGGCGAGCGCTTTCAGAAGGACATTTGGTCTCTGCAGAGATATACCGCAAGGACTAACACACGCCACAAGAGCCTATTGTACTCATTATCTGAACCTGAAACACAAGATCAGCATTCTTTCACTCAGAAGTTGACCGCGAAAAGTTCAGAGACACTAAAAATCACCTAATTTCGCCCAAAAATCCTGAAAATAATAATCACTAAACTTCTTGTTAAGTGATTAGACAGTATTTCATTGGTGTTTGTATATGTGACTATGTAGTACTTATTGCTGGGTTAAGTGGGCGGCATATCTGAGTTGTTTCATTACTTTCACATTCCTTGCAACGATGGCGGCAGTGCCTCAGGCAGTTAACGTTTACAGCACAAGTCAAATGACAGACAACTTAAGCAGAAATGAAATACTTCAGTGGGTTAACCATTGTCTGGATAGCAATTACGGAAAGATCGAGGAGTTATGTACAGGTATTTGTGAGTGGTGTGGATTGCATTGTTTTCAGGCGCAGCTTATTGCCAACTGGTAGATATGTTATTCCCAGGTAAGGTTTCCAAGCATTCTAAGTGTTGTTGCAGGGACACTGGTCTTCAAGAAGGTGAAATTCAACACCAAACTTGAACACGAAAGCATCAATAACTTCAAAGTTTTACAGTCTCTGTTCAAGAAACACGGTGTGGACAAAGTAAGCAATAAGAAAATGCCTACTTTCCATAGGAAGTTCCAATCGAAAAGTTAGTCAAGGGAAAGTTTCAGGACAACTTTGAGTTCGTCCAGTGGTTCAAGCGTTTCTTCGACGCCAACTATGATGGCCATCCATATGATGCCTCCGCAGCTAGAGGAGGAGAGAAAATCGTCGGTAGCGGCAAACCAAATCAGTCTAGCATTGTCCCACCGCGTCCAAGTCCAACAGCGAGTAGCAGACCTTCAGGTCAAAGACAGGGTAAGTCAAGGATGATGGCTAGAACGCAGTGTACATAGCAAAAGCACTCATTAGTTCTGATAAATATTTTGCCCCTTGTCCCAATGCTAAGTTTTCAGTGCAAACCTTTCGGAAACCTCATTGGCTATTGAGGTTGTGTAGTGTTTTGTTATCATCTACTCATTTGTTATCAAAGTTCAATACAAACGCTTGTAGTCTTAGGAATAAACTCGCCGAATTAGGAGAGTTATCTGAAAGACTACAACCTGATGTGATTGCTATCACTGAGACATGGTTGTTAGTGGATGTAGACTTAACTCCACTCATACCTGGGTACATCTGTATTCGAGCAGATAGAGTAAGTAGTCGGAAAAGTGGTGGGGTTGCTCTATACATCCGCGATGACATAGGGATTAGGTCAACGTTGTCAGAAGCTCATGACAGCGGCACCAGTGAGGCTGCAAGTTGCATTATTAATCTGAGCAAAGGCACTTCAACGATCGGAGTTATTTACAGAAGTCCTGCTAGCCAAGCTGATGACTTCGTTCTAAATCACTTGAGGGCGTGGGGTAGTAGAAATAGATGTCTGGTTGTTGGCGACTTTAATGCTCCACACATTAACTGGGGGGAATTAAACTCCACTAGTTTGTATACCTGTTTCAATAGGGAGTTCACATTGACAGTGCTTGAATGTGCAACATATGCATGCACCAACACGGTATCACCCGGAACATGATCCATCTACTCTAGACTTGATATTAACACACCAGAAGGAGGACGTTGGTGACATTAGGTACCTTCCACCGCTTGGCAGCAGTGACCACATAGTCATTGCTTTTACGTTTAAGATTCATTCTCTCATACACAGCTCGTCCAAACATTTGGAAAGCGGATATACAAGGAATCCGGAACGCAGCAACTTCAGTTGACTGGTCAGTAGATACAAGTCGGACTGTCGAGGAAGCTTGGGTAGGATTTAGAAATACACTAGATTGTGTCACTTCACCCTTTATACCTTGGTACACTCCTCGAAAGCTATCACACAAGCCACCTTGGATTACTAGTGAAATAAGGAGGCTATTAAGACGGCGAAAGAACTTATGGGACCAATTTATTATGACAGGAAGGGAAAGTTTCCAGAAAGGCTACCGCAAAATTCGAAATCTCTGTAAGTATGCGATTAACAAGAGTCGTATAGAATATGAGAGACGGCTTGTGCTAGATAGTGTTCACTACCCAAAAAGGCTCTTCTCGTATATTAAACGTAGGACTAAAACTAGCAATGGTATACCGTCACTCATAAGCATTAGTGGAGAAACGGCTGAGTCAGACGAAGGAAAGGCTGAAAACCTCTCTGAATACTTCTGTGACGTCTTCTCGTCTGATAGTACCACCCAGGGATATGGCGAGGTTACTGCCATCGCCACTCAGATGCCCTCAATTGTGGTAGAGCACACAAAAGTCCTCAAAATACTGTCTAAACTGAAACCAGGTAAATCACCTGGGCCTGATGGACTTCACCCTAAATTATTAATTTCCTTGGCGGATATAATATATATTCCACTCGCGGAGATTTTCCAAATGTCACTGACCCAGGCTAAGCTACCCAGGGACTGGAAGGATGCCATTATAAGCCCTATATTCAAAGAGGGGGACAGGCAATTGGTATCTAACTACAGGCCGGTAAGTCTAACATGCATTATAGCAAAGGTAATGGAAACTATTATAAGGGATCAGCTATTAGCTTATGTGGAAACACATGGCTTACTGGCAGTTGAACAGCATGGATTCCGACCAGGACGATCCTGCTTAACAAACTTACTGTTAGCTAGGGAAGATTGGGTCGAGGCCAGAGATAAAAACCTTCTGTTGGACGTGGTTTTTATTGATCTTAGCAAGGCATTCGACAAAGTATCCCACTTAGGTCTCCTTAGTAAACTTAAAGATTTCAGACTAGACCAATGCCTATGTGAGTGTTTTAGGGATTACCTAATGGATAGAAGGCAGAAGGTTAGAGTTAACGGTGTACTATCAGGGTGGAAAGCAGTATCCAGTGGAGTGCCCCAGGGAACTGTATTAGGCCCCTTGCTATTCCTATTATACGTTAATGAGCTACCAGGGATTCTTACTTCATCTTCATTGTTATTTGCAGACGACATTAAGATATGGAAAACTGTAAACAATAGCGAGGATAGGTCGGCCCTACAAACTGATCTAGATAAATTAGCTGAGTGGTCGAACCTGTGGAGTTTGGAAATGAATTCTAGGAAAAGCGCAGTAATGCACTTAGGTCAGAAGTCTTATACGTCGTACTCCCTAGGGGACACAGAACTACCTGATGTTAACGAACAGAAGGACCTAGGAATCATTGTCAGCAATGATTTGAAAACAACTGCAATGCAGCCGCAGCTAAGGCTTTTCGAATGCTATGGGCACTCCGTAGGGCTTTCAAACCATTAGATGAGGGCATGTTACAAATACTCTACGCAACCTATGTCAGGCCTCATCTATAATACTGCGTACAAGCGGCGGGTCCATGCTTCAAAAAGGAGGCATATATCCTGGAAAGAGTACAGAGAGTAGGAACGAAACTAGTTAGTGGTATCTCACACCTTCCTTATGATAAGAGGATGGAGCATCTAAATCTCTTTCCGTTATCATACCGAAGGAAGAGAGGCGACCTAATTTTGGCTTACCGTATACTTAAGGGTGATTTAGGAACTGACTTTTCTAAACTTTTCTCTCCTTCTAGGATACATTTACGGGGTCACCGCAAAAAGGTGCTCAAACCGAGGACGATTAAAATACGTGCAGAATTTAGATTCTCTCATAGAGTGGTCAACGACTGGAACTCCTTACCTGATTCAGTAGTAACAGCTCCATCGGTGAACGCTTTCAAAGAGAAGTTAGATCTCTGCAGAGATATATTTTGCAAGGATTAACACAGGCCACAAGAGCCTTCTATCCTTATCAACTGAATCTGAAGCAGGTTGGCAAGTCTGTCCTCTAGCACAACTTGATGTAGTTGAGGGCGTATTGGCAGAAGTGGCTCGTACACTATGCCCCAGCTATTCAACTGCTGATGGCCACTCCGAGAAATCCAGTCTGCCATAATTTGTCATTGCAATTCTTTGCGGTTGAGTCATAGGTTGTTTTCTTGTAAGTAAATGTTCTTACATTAGAGTTCAGTTAAGTAAATTGTGCTTGCTTCTCATCCCATTTTCAGAACAAATATCTACTACTGTGAATTTCTTTTCCTACTATTAGTATCTACAACTGTACGAAGTAGACAATCCGCTGTATCAGGACTTTCCAACGATGCTGGAGGGGATACTGCAGATGTTACTGGCCTCAAAGAACAGTTTGACTTGCTGACTGTTGAGGTTAGTTTTCACAATTTTTATGAACTAATGAGCTTTTAATTCATCTAGTCATCCTAAGTTCCCTCATAAATGAGATTTAGGATAATTGTATTCTCCGTATTGCGAATTTCTTAATAGAAATACTGTACTAAGTTCAAATGTATGTATCTTATTGCTTTCCACCTCCTGAGTGGCGACTGCAGACGCTTCATCCGTTGTCCTTATGATTCTTGAAGTCAGAAATCCTAGGATATCTCAGTCTCTATAGCTTGTGAAGCCATACGGTGTCGTTAGGATTTTTTATTCCTTCACGTTCCCAGTGGAACATAGGGCTTCAAGCTAGAAGCTTGAAGTTTCTGTAGCAGTGTTTATTTTGACAGGATGAGGTCGCTAGCCTCATGCCCAACCTTTCCTCTTTACCAGCTTTTATTTCTGGCTTAGCGAGGTAAAGGAGTGCGTCGGCCGGGGTTCGAACCCCGGACCTCGTTAGGTTTGGTAAGTAAGTTTTTATTTGAGAGTTGGACTGCAGTCAACTCTATTGTCCAGTCCTGTTTCATTGCGTTAGAGTGATGTCGAAGAGACTAAATGAGTGGTTGCATTGCTAATCAGGAAGAGTGAATGTTACTGGATCACGCAAGTGCTGAACCATAGACAGACTCAGACTTGTGAAAACCTTACGACGCAAATTTAGTGCGGCCATGTCTATGCATATCCATAATTATGGTAACTTTTGGTTGTCACTGTGGTAGTTGGTGGTTGGTTTGACTGTATTCCAGTTCGTGTATGTGAGTGTAACATTTGTGGACTCGTCGAATTTGCATAACTCCAGTGCGTTTTAATTTTCTTCCTTTTAGGCTGAACAACACAAAGCAGCTATTGCAGGACTTGTTCGTGAGCGAGATTTTTACTTTGACAAGTTGCGCAGAATTGAAATAATTTGTCAGAACAATGGAACTGTCGAGTTGTTTAAAGACATCTTAGAAATTCTTTATGCAACGGAAGTAAGTTAGTGGTCAAATATTTTCTCTTGGGTATGTTTCTTTGTATTTGTAAGGGAGAATGGACCAGAACCGTCTTCAACTGACTGCATGGCTTAAGCATTCTGGCTACCAATAATCATTTTACAACCTGCCGTTTACGGCTGATCTCCGTTGGAAACCAGTAGTGCAGATGTCTTGGTTTTCCATATTAATATCACAGTGTTGTTTTACGTGGGATTTATTTCTCTGTTTTACTGAATTAATTAATTTCTAAATTTCCATTTCCACGCTTTACAGGATGGCTTTACTACTCCCGCAAACGAAGAGCCGGAAGAATTTTGATTTAAGCTTTAGTTGTATTACTTCGTACAAGTGCTTTTAGGAACATATTCGTCGATCTGCTAGACGAAAACGCTACTAGTACCGTTGCTCCTTGTTAACGGGGTAATCACATTATTCCATAAGTATTACATTTTATTTCTTTTATGATTCGTATGTATTTGTACAGAACATGTAAACATTTTTGAAGCTTCCCTGTCATTCTAAAACTGTATTACAATTAACACATTGATTGACTTCTCCTCTATCCCTGTGAAGTCTTCCCTTCGGTGTATTTGACACATACACATGAAAATCTTACAAAATATTCATTGCCAGTTTCATCCATTTTCTTCTTTGACGGGGCATACCAACAATTTTCCTTCTCTATGTGTGTTGCAAAAGTCCTTCCTTTATATCCATACAACAGCAATATTCAAGTGCTTTCCAAACAGATGATATACAAAACTGTTGCTTTCGAACCTGTTTTGGTACACTCCCATTAAAACCAATTAATAAAAACTAGACTGAATACGCCTCGTATCCTGTTCTATCCTGAAAAATACACGCTCATATATAGCCATTCCCTCCACCTGGAAAGATATGCGAAATCACAGACCTTTATTGCTCCGAGCAAGAATAACAATAATCCGAAAATCTGCATTTATCGATATTTGAGAATGAGCGTTTCATGAACTTCATTACGTTGGACAGTTGGTTTGCAAGAGTGACTGCTAAATCAGATTGCTTGGAAAAGTACTTTGCATTTCGACGGTGCGAAGCACATGAGTACTGTTGATGATTAATTTCGATTTGGTTAGCTTGTATTTTATTGCACAATGAGGAGATATCGTGTACATGGTGAAGGTTGAATGGTCTTTTTGAGATACGAGATCTGCATTCTTCAGAGTGCCAGCGATAGAAGAGTTAAGGAGGAGTGACGACGTCGTCAATCCTTTCCCCTACTCTGTTTTTGGTGATTTTGTATTGGATGTTAGAGATGTTAGTAAACCTGACATGGAGACTGGTCGTTGAGAGTCATTTCGAAGGGAGGTTGTTTCCAAGGAGTCAAATGCAGTCCTAATGTCAAGAGACTCAATGATCACTGCTCTTATATACATGTGGATTTCGAAAACTAGACTACTGATTCAACAGCTCCTCAGTAGTTCCACACGCGGTCGTTATTTCCATTTGACATGGAAGTTCTCACCATCAGGCGTTAATATTCTGATACAAGCAGTGTTGTATTTTGTTATTGGTGAGATCCTTCTCAGGTTACTGATGATGTGAAACCACAAGCCAGCCGCTCTGAGAAACAGCATTTATTAAGGAGACGTTATCTTAGGTGGTCTAGTGTCAGCTACTAGCCTCGATTCTATCACGATTTAATACTCAGTCGTGAGTCTGATGATTGTGGTGCGCTGCACATTGTCGACAGAGTTGATTCCTCTATTCTAGATTCCCAGATTGAAGGCCTGTTGATAGCTATGTACTCAAGTGGTGAAGCTCCAAATTTAGAGCTCTGTGCGACACTGACACCAGGTAAGAGAGATAATGACACCAGAAGTGAGTGGATAGACATGCATAGAAGGGACCTGTCGAGCTGATAGACGCAGGGGGTATTAGAATCATTCACTGGGGTTTTGTATGTTCTCGAAACGCGGTACATAAATCGTGTGGTTTAAAAGAGTTCTTTGCAAGTGTCTATCAAGCTTGCAATATGTACGAAATAGTAGAGAAGATTTGTAGCTCACGTTGAGAATGACAATTGTCTGACGTTCTCTGAGTTTCGATATTCGATAGTGAGCGTTTCATCCCTTCTGGCTTAATGACACTTTGATCACGAACTTCATTACGTTGGACAGTTGGTTTGCAAGAGTGACTGCTAAATCAGATTGCTTGGAAAAGTACTTTGCATTTCGACGGTGCGAAGCACATGAGTACTGTTGATGATTAATTTCGATTTGGTTAGCTTGTATTTTATTGCACAATGAGGAGATATCGTGTACATGGTGAAGGTTGAATGGTCTTTTTGAGATACGAGATCTGCATTCTTCAGAGTGCCAGCGATAGAAGAGTTAAGGAGGAGTGACGACGTCGTCAATCCTTTCCCCTACTCTGTTTTTGGTGATTTTGTATTGGATGTTAGAGATGTTAGTAAACCTGACATGGAGACTGGTCGTTGAGAGTCATTTCGAAGGGAGGTTGTTTCCAAGGAGTCAAATGCAGTCCTAATGTCAAGAGACTCAATGATCACTGCTCTTATATACATGTGGATTTCGAAAACTAGACTACTGATTCAACAGCTCCTCAGTAGTTCCACACGCGGTCGTTATTTCCATTTGACATGGAAGTTCTCACCATCAGGCGTTAATATTCTGATACAAGCAGTGTTGTATTTTGTTATTGGTGAGATCCTTCTCAGGTTACTGATGATGTGAAACCACAAGCCAGCCGCTCTGAGAAACAGCATTTATTAAGGAGACGTTATCTTAGGTGGTCTAGTGTCAGCTACTAGCCTCGATTCTATCACGATTTAATACTCAGTCGTGAGTCTGATGATTGTGGTGCGCTGCACATTGTCGACAGAGTTGATTCCTCTATTCTAGATTCCCAGATTGAAGGCCTGTTGATAGCTATGTACTCAAGTGGTGAAGCTCCAAATTTAGAGCTCTGTGCGACACTGACACCAGGTAAGAGAGATAATGACACCAGAAGTGAGTGGATAGACATGCATAGAAGGGACCTGTCGAGCTGATAGACGCAGGGGGTATTAGAATCATTCACTGGGGTTTTGTATGTTCTCGAAACGCGGTACATAAATCGTGTGGTTTAAAAGAGTTCTTTGCAAGTGTCTATCAAGCTTGCAATATGTACGAAATAGTAGAGAAGATTTGTAGCTCACGTTGAGAATGACAATTGTCTGACGTTCTCTGAGTTTCGATATTCGATAGTGAGCGTTTCATCCCTTCTGGCTTAATGACACTTTGATCACGAACTTCATTACGTTGGACAGTTGGTTTGCAAGAGTGACTGCTAAATCAGATTGCTTGGAAAAGTACTTTGCATTTCGACGGTGCGAAGCACATGAGTACTGTTGATGATTAATTTCGATTTGGTTAGCTTGTATTTTATTGCACAATGAGGAGATATCGTGTACATGGTGAAGGTTGAATGGTCTTTTTGAGATACGAGATCTGCATTCTTCAGAGTGCCAGCGATAGAAGAGTTAAGGAGGAGTGACGACGTCGTCAATCCTTTCCCCTACTCTGTTTTTGGTGATTTTGTATTGGATGTTAGAGATGTTAGTAAACCTGACATGGAGACTGGTCGTTGAGAGTCATTTCGAAGGGAGGTTGTTTCCAAGGAGTCAAATGCAGTCCTAATGTCAAGAGACTCAATGATCACTGCTCTTATATACATGTGGATTTCGAAAACTAGACTACTGATTCAACAGCTCCTCAGTAGTTCCACACGCGGTCGTTATTTCCATTTGACATGGAAGTTCTCACCATCAGGCGTTAATATTCTGATACAAGCAGTGTTGTATTTTGTTATTGGTGAGATCCTTCTCAGGTTACTGATGATGTGAAACCACAAGCCAGCCGCTCTGAGAAACAGCATTTATTAAGGAGACGTTATCTTAGGTGGTCTAGTGTCAGCTACTAGCCTCGATTCTATCACGATTTAATACTCAGTCGTGAGTCTGATGATTGTGGTGCGCTGCACATTGTCGACAGAGTTGATTCCTCTATTCTAGATTCCCAGATTGAAGGCCTGTTGATAGCTATGTACTCAAGTGGTGAAGCTCCAAATTTAGAGCTCTGTGCGACACTGACACCAGGTAAGAGAGATAATGACACCAGAAGTGAGTGGATAGACATGCATAGAAGGGACCTGTCGAGCTGATAGACGCAGGGGGTATTAGAATCATTCACTGGGGTTTTGTATGTTCTCGAAACGCGGTACATAAATCGTGTGGTTTAAAAGAGTTCTTTGCAAGTGTCTATCAAGCTTGCAATATGTACGAAATAGTAGAGAAGATTTGTAGCTCACGTTGAGAATGACAATTGTCTGACGTTCTCTGAGTTTCGATATTCGATAGTGAGCGTTTCATCCCTTCTGGCTTAATGACACTTTGATCACGAACTTCATTACGTTGGACAGTTGGTTTGCAAGAGTGACTGCTAAATCAGATTGCTTGGAAAAGTACTTTGCATTTCGACGGTGCGAAGCACATGAGTACTGTTGATGATTAATTTCGATTTGGTTAGCTTGTATTTTATTGCACAATGAGGAGATATCGTGTACATGGTGAAGGTTGAATGGTCTTTTTGAGATACGAGATCTGCATTCTTCAGAGTGCCAGCGATAGAAGAGTTAAGGAGGAGTGACGACGTCGTCAATCCTTTCCCCTACTCTGTTTTTGGTGATTTTGTATTGGATGTTAGAGATGTTAGTAAACCTGACATGGAGACTGGTCGTTGAGAGTCATTTCGAAGGGAGGTTGTTTCCAAGGAGTCAAATGCAGTCCTAATGTCAAGAGACTCAATGATCACTGCTCTTATATACATGTGGATTTCGAAAACTAGACTACTGATTCAACAGCTCCTCAGTAGTTCCACACGCGGTCGTTATTTCCATTTGACATGGAAGTTCTCACCATCAGGCGTTAATATTCTGATACAAGCAGTGTTGTATTTTGTTATTGGTGAGATCCTTCTCAGGTTACTGATGATGTGAAACCACAAGCCAGCCGCTCTGAGAAACAGCATTTATTAAGGAGACGTTATCTTAGGTGGTCTAGTGTCAGCTACTAGCCTCGATTCTATCACGATTTAATACTCAGTCGTGAGTCTGATGATTGTGGTGCGCTGCACATTGTCGACAGAGTTGATTCCTCTATTCTAGATTCCCAGATTGAAGGCCTGTTGATAGCTATGTACTCAAGTGGTGAAGCTCCAAATTTAGAGCTCTGTGCGACACTGACACCAGGTAAGAGAGATAATGACACCAGAAGTGAGTGGATAGACATGCATAGAAGGGACCTGTCGAGCTGATAGACGCAGGGGGTATTAGAATCATTCACTGGGGTTTTGTATGTTCTCGAAACGCGGTACATAAATCGTGTGGTTTAAAAGAGTTCTTTGCAAGTGTCTATCAAGCTTGCAATATGTACGAAATAGTAGAGAAGATTTGTAGCTCACGTTGAGAATGACAATTGTCTGACGTTCTCTGAGTTTCGATATTCGATAGTGAGCGTTTCATCCCTTCTGGCTTAATGACACTTTGATCACGAACTTCATTACGTTGGACAGTTGGTTTGCAAGAGTGACTGCTAAATCAGATTGCTTGGAAAAGTACTTTGCATTTCGACGGTGCGAAGCACATGAGTACTGTTGATGATTAATTTCGATTTGGTTAGCTTGTATTTTATTGCACAATGAGGAGATATCGTGTACATGGTGAAGGTTGAATGGTCTTTTTGAGATACGAGATCTGCATTCTTCAGAGTGCCAGCGATAGAAGAGTTAAGGAGGAGTGACGACGTCGTCAATCCTTTCCCCTACTCTGTTTTTGGTGATTTTGTATTGGATGTTAGAGATGTTAG